CCCCAAAACCCCAAAACCCCAAAACCCCAAAACCCCAAAACCCCTTTTATTTGATGAAAGGTTGAAATTTTAACTACAGAAGAGCATTTATGTATTCCAATTTTAAAAGTACCCTCCAACGGGCTTCTCCCTTTTCGCAAAGGTCGATTTATTCGTGCATGCTCTCGTTTTTATGGTAGACATTGTTCCAAGTGCAGTCTTGTTACTCTTTCCTATTAAAATTACAGACGAATGCTTGCTGTTAATATGAATGCTATTGCTAGTGCCTCCAATTATACTCATTGATTTGTCTTTGTCAAGGTTACAATACTCATCTCGGATATTACTCGAGATGATACTCTCTTCTCTATCAAAATCGGTTCTATAAATTTGTATGAAATTTTACTTTGTTTGAGAAAGCTCAAATCCTTTTGCTTTACACTTGGTTCTTGCAAAAGAAGGAACTGAATTAGCAGTCGCCAATGTAGTTGCAGTTTTATACTTCTTTAAATGCGTCTTTAATTTCTCATCCATAGGTTTCTTCCTAGGGTCAGTGAAGGCATTCTACATGAAGATCATATAATACTTAATACCTTATCTGAAATACTGTCATAAAAATTATTTATGGCTCTGGTAAATTCCCTGAAAAGACACATTGTCTTTATGACTATATGCATTGAAGCAAGAAGCCTCCTTTGAAGACTTCCTTTTAGATAAACTTGAGGTTTGCTTAGAGAATGAGGTCCCTGTATTCCTGAATTTACTTTGAGATTTTATTGCAAGAGGCTCTTGAGTCATCGAAGGCTTCCTCTTGATGGCTGAAAGAACTCTAATACTCTTAGACCTTTCTTGATGGTCAAGAGTCGCCATTATTGAATTATTTTTACTGACAGCTTCAGAATTAAAGGATGCTTGATCTCTAGATTTCCTTCTTTCATATCTACTCTTCGCCTATTGGTCTAAGGGATAAAGGTTACATAATTATCATATCTAGATTTGATCTTTCTCTGTTTCTCAGGAGACATTGCATTTGAAAGCATTTTTGTAAATAATTTCTCGTTCACTTTCTGTTTAACTTTGACCAGTTTCAAATTTGCGATTTGGTTATTTACATTCAGATTTTTCCTAACAACTTTCTTTGAGTAAGTTCTGGATCTAAAAATAGTGCGGAGAGTTTACTTATTTTCCTATTTTTGATTTGGTCTTTATCTTAGGTTCAAGAGAGGGATGAAACAGATTCTTGGTCAATCTGTGATATTCAGTATACTCATTAACGAACGGGGAGTCTTTACTAATCCCAAATTTAAGATTCGTATTCTGGTTATTTAGTATACTTATGAGTTTCTAGAAAACACAATTAGAACTATTTCTAATTTTAACTTTATGAGAGTTTTTGCCTACTTTCTTCTTTGATCAATTTATTGATTTTCCCTTTAGTATAATACTTCTTCTCGTTGTCCATTACTACAAGATGAGGATTGGAACTCATATATTCTGGCCATTCAATTGAAATAGTGTTTCTCTTATTAAAAAGCTCTTTTGAACTCTTTTGAAACTTCTTTATGCTTGAACCGTACATTAGCAGAAATAAAACTTAGAGTAAATTAAATAAATTTAACAAAGGGGTTTTGGGGTTTTGGGGTTTTGGGGTTTTGGGGTTTTGGGG